TTTTTTTTGCATCAAAACTGCCTGTCGCCTTACATTTCTTGTTACGGGGCGGCATTGTTTGCCCCGTAACGATTCCAGAAATATTTACGCAAACGCAAGGATCCGACTACTGGCAACTCATTCATTAGAAACCATGGAATTAGATGTTGAAAGATTGGCGTCGTTATTAGGAGTGACATAGCGTGACACACAGTGACACAGAACAGATCAGACATTACGTAAGCCATGAGACCTACTAAATGTAATTAACGAAGGCATGACGCACTAGCCCAGAAATCAAATGCAAACTAGGTTGTTTTGACAGTTATGTCGGTTGTTTATCGACACCCCATTCGACCACCCTAATCTTAAATGCGTTACAGCATTACACGCCTTATTTGAAACTTTTAAACGTATAATAATCGGCTATCCCATTGCACGTACCCAGAAAAGGCAAAAACTGAAGTATATAGTTCCCGGGTGTTTCAACGACCGGCACTTTAGCTAAGAGATTTAACATAAACACAAATGTCAACCAAGGCATCTTAATACGAGAAACACAAAGTCAGGTTTCATAACTGTGTTGGTTTGGTAATTCCGAAGTCATCCGACGATCTCATGAAAAACAAAGACTCCTATCCCTAACAACAACATACGAAAGCAAGCTGTATCATGCCACGAAACATAATTTTATCTTCAATCAGTCACCTCTTCCCCCGACCTAATTGATGTCCTCGGATCTCTTGAGCCACATTTTAAATGCCCAAACTCAGGGTTCTTCACGTGATCAGTCAATTTTTAGCGCGTGATGAACTAGCCAATGAACGTTACCGAAAAGAACGCGAAAACCCTCGCGCTTAGGCTTCTCCGTGACGGGTGGGAACTAGCCAATGAACGTTACCGAAAAGAACGCGAAAACCCCCCGCGCGTAGGCTTCTCCGATTAACAAAATAGATCGCTGAAGGTCTGAACAAGTTAAGCGCCGAAAGACAGTCGGGTGGACACTCGTAATAACTTTTATAAGCAAAATTTGAAGAAGTCGTTCCATTATGAGGTACGTGTATGTTACACTTAAAGATCGGAGTTGGCATATTTGTTTATGTGAAATCTCTTAGCATAACGCGCCAGTCGCCGTAACATCCAGGCACCAGCCACTATACTT